GTGGTTAAGAGGACAGGCTGCTCTTGCAGAGGACCTGAGTTTGATTCCCAGCACCCATAAGGTAGCTGACAACTTTCTGTAACTCCAGTTCCAGGGGACCTGACACCCTCTTCTGACCTCCTTGGGTACTGCACTGACACATACCCTGATGTAACTGCAGGAATAAGGAAAATGGAAGGGAACCCGGGAGATAAAGGGAAAGAAGGAATCTGAGAAGGAAGAATACACAGGTATTACTGTGAAGAGACAGGTGAGAGAGAGGAAACAGGTGTTACTAAGGGAAAAATGTGCAAAAAGGGTGTAGTTAAATGGGAGGGGGAGAAGGAGGGCTACAGAAAGAACTATGGGAATAAAGGGGAAGAAGGAGTTCAAGAGACTATAGCAGACAGAATTATAAAGGGAGAAATGGTGAAATGGGCACTTTAAATGGGAAGGGCAGGGAGGGAGAATAAGACAGGGAGAGAAAGAGGAGAGATAAATAGTGGAGAACATCAATTGATGGTCCAACCGCAGTTTCAAGGCCTAAAAACCACATCGATGACCACCACAGCAAACAACACTAGTGCAGTAGTGGCACTTTTATCTTGGGGTAATCAACAGCTACCTAATTGGACTGAAAGCCCACTCAATGGGCGGAAACTCATGTCTGATACTGTAAACCTAGCCAAATATACATAGTTGGAGAGGTCATAGATCTTAGAGAAAACTTCAAGGCTGTCACATCCCTGGACAAATATAATTTCTTACTATGTGAAAAATACGGGTCCTTAAATTTATAAAGTACTCCAGTCACCACCCATCAAATAAGTTTCCTTTTCAAGAGACAGATTATTACAGTTACACCACTGGTCATACACAGAGATTGTGAATTACCCAAGCATAAGCGACACATCTAGGATGCAATCTCTACACCTAAGGCTCACAGAACAAAGATCAAGGGATGAAGAGAACACTAATGCATCTTTCAGTTCTCATCAATGAAACTCCCTCATGCAACAGAGAGCCAAGAACACAAAAGATCACAAATGGCCAAAACACAGAGAATAAGAGTCTACAGAGTGTGGGTCATTGGAGAGGACTCCTATATTAAAATTCAACCACCCAGGGCTTAGGGATCCTTGCAGAAGATCAGGGGGCAGAAAGATTGTAAGAGCCAGGGAGGAGATGCATGACCATAAGGAAATAGTCTACAGGCTCCTGGGACTCTTCTCATATTAACCTACAGCAATGGTGTCAGCATGCACAAGACCCATGCAAAAACCCAGCACAGAACTGTGGAAATGAACCGCAGGCCCCAATCTTATTTGAAGAATTATTGGCAGTTGATTACTACTGGGTGAGGAAGAGCTGATCTTCTTAAAGGGAGGGACACTAGGTAGGCTGATAGATCTCAGTGGATGAACTTGCACTGAGGGACATATGGGGATACTAACTTTACATGATAGGCCTTAACACAAATGACAAAACGTATAAACTCCAGTGTGTGTGTGTGTGTAGGGGGGGACACTATGGGATGGTGTCAAAGGGGAAGAGGGTATAAAGATGATTTTGTGTATAAAATACACAAAAATTCAATAAAAATTAAAAAACAAAACAAAAAAGAAAGCAAACAAAAAGAAAAAAACCACCAAAAAAGTGTATAATATCTAGTAATATTAATTTATTATCAACTAATACTGAAAGGTATATATATATATCAAACAAGCTAGTAACTCACCCAGCAAATAGAATGGAATAAAGTACTTGTTTCTAAAATGTGTCTTTGGAGGTGTGGAAAGTGGAGGAAGATGGGTGGGAGAGGAGATCAGGCTCAGTCACACAAAACAGGGGCAGCAGGAAGCGCTCAAGTTCAGTGAGGAAACCAAAGGTCAGTCCTTCATAACTTTGGGTGGGACTACTGTGACTCTTAAAAATAACAGCAATATAGTATCCTAATAATATATAGCTATATATTTAATTCACTGATAACCATGAGGCTTCTTTTTGATTGAACAATCTACTTACATACACATTTCTCAACAGCCAACATAACGACACTATATAAACTCTCACACCCTAGTGTGAGATACCTATGTCCTCTACCTCCATCTAGTTATAGCTATATAACATAAAACTGGGAATTTTACTATCTTCACTCCTCTTCACTGGTGTACCTTACTCATCTCTTACATTACACTAGCTATATCGTAGTATTTGAATTATAAAAGTCTGTTTAAATTTAACCACCTGTCTTTCGTTTTGCTGTCTACCTGGGCCTTTTCTAAACAAGCAGAAAATCTCCAATCAGTCTGTTATCACAAGCAGAATGCAAGAGATTAGTAGCCAGCAGAGAAGGGTCAGTTTACACCCTTTCAGGATCAAGAAATCTGAAGCGCCCCACCTTAACTCGGAAAACCTGCAGTCAATAATAACATTAAAGTTGGCTTTATGTGCCAGACAGTTTTTGTTTTCTTCGTGGTTTTTACAATTTGAGTGTCGTTTGTGGTTATTAAAATATATGCCAAAAGGCATATACTTAACATTTAAAGTATTTAATTCATAATAAAGGTCTTACAGTTTAAGTAGATCTGAGTTAAAATACACTTCACATCAAAAAATTTGAAAAATGAAAATATTGCTTGTACTTACCCAGAGTAGATTCTAGCAATCTAGCTCTACTTATGGCAGTTAATATATTTAATTCTTTTTTAAATTAAGAAATAAAATAGGTCTTTCAGTAGAATCTGCCAATCCAAGTAAAAAGTCACACAGACCCCATTAATACTACACTCTCTCTTCTCCCCATAAAAGGTCAATTGTTTCTGGAAGGAAAGAAGCAAGCCTCAAGCTACACATTTAGTTGGGAAAAAGGGTCAAAGAACAGCTGTGCAGACCTGGGGCCAACTGGCCAGATGATCAAGTCAAGTCAGTGTGCAGAGGTAAGAGGAGATGGGCTAGCCAAGGGAACCCAGTTTCTCTCCATAATCAAGCACTTAATGACAACAAATCTAATTAACACCATAAACCAAAAAATGTAAGTGATCTTTTAAACTGTGATTAACTTTCACTTAACATTCCACTAAAGGAACTGTACTAGCTGAACCCATTGCAGATGACTTAGTGTGGTTCACAGGTCATTCCATGGCCTACTGAACCAGGTTAGCTGAGTACCTTCATATACCTGTCCTGTTTTCTTTTACAGAGGGCGATATTCATATTCCCATTATACCTTTCTCCCTCCCCACCTCCTCCTAGCCCTCTCTATGTATATATAGTGCAGCTGTGGAGAGATGACACAAAACAGTAAAATCTCAGTGTGACAGATACTGATATAGGAGAAAAGTTTAATGGCATTTTGGGGGGCTACAAAAGTTTAGGTCTATCAACTATTTCCAAGGTACTTGAACACTGACTGCTCTTGCAGAAGACCCAGGTTTGATTCCCAGTACCCACACAGCAGCTAACAACTGTCCATAACTCCAGTTCCATCCAGGGGATCCGATGCCCTCTTTTGACCTCTGTGGGCATTGTACGACCCAGGTGCACTTACACATATGCAGGCAATACACTCATACACATAAAATAATAAAATAAAAAGGTGTGTGTACCAAGACTACTTTTGTAAATTAAGTACAGGTTTTCAAAAATTATTTTAGCATTTTTTTGTTAAGCATTAAAATGCTTAAAATATCAATAACCATGAAATGTCTTTAATGTGGTCAGATATTCATGGACCAATCATTATTAATTTATGATTTACAAACTATCTTAAATGAGACAATAAAATGTGCATCTCAGCAGTGCTCTTGGTGGAAGAAAAGGCAGTCTCATGGCTCTCCATTCACTACAGGTAACAAGTCATGAAACGGCAGAAATGATTCGTTATTAGATGTAATAGCTTTGTCCATAATTAAACCTCAACTCTGAAGTGAAAAAAGTGCAAAATAGTGGTCTTTCAAAAGTGATTTTAAAAGACTTACACAGTAGATACACACACAGACACACACATAAGTAATTTAAAATCTTCAAAGCAAGCCCTAAGCAAAAGAAAGTAAAGGAAAAGAAAAAAAGATGACAGTAATTTTGTAATGTTTCTAAATTGAAAACACTAAAGTTTACTATAGAAAGTAACTTACAGTACTTACAACAAATTTTCATTGTTTTGGTAGCTATATTTTGGTAGCATTCATTCTGGAGGTCTTTTAAAAATGTGTGCTTGGCATCAAAAAAGGCCTAAAGAGGAATACTAACAGAATTAAAGGGGAAATCTAAATCTCTGTTTTCAGTGACTCCTTAAGAACTTTTTAGACCTACAAGATTTATTTAAAGTAAATTTTGTAAAGGGTCTTCACTATCCTTTATAAAAATATCAGTTTGCTGAGACAAGTGAGGGCATTTTCTCAATTTTAATTAGACGTTTAGTGAAGATTTGGCACATGTCAGTACTTTAAAAAGATCCTTTACTGTAAATTTCCTGAATACAAGCATCCAAAGTGTTATGTCAAAACCTTTCCGGTAAACGCTTGGTCTTCTAAATGTTAGCTATGGCCATTCACACGTATGTGTCAGAAGGAATGGTCAGTGTCACCCTGGAAAGAAGGCAAACATTCCACTAGCACTACAGACTAGCTCTGGCTTCATTAATCCAAACCACCTGTCTAAACACACTAGCAATCTGTACTTCAATGTTAAAGAGATCCAGCTGAAATACAATCTCTCTAATTCTGATCAGCTTGAAAACTTCTTTTCCACAATTAAAGGGTCACTATAAACACAGAACCTGGCATTGTTTTTCTGTGATTAGGTTTCAGTAGCTTAAGTCTCCGAACACTAGAATTCTTCACACAGCTGTTACATTGTGGAGCAGGGATGGGCTCACATCTGCTTCTTGCTTATTTCATTAATGGTTCACTTCCAGGTCCTTTCTCCAGATAATGCAGGACCCATCTAAGTCTGCCTCCTGCATGGTGGCTTGTTCTGGTGAGTCAGTCCCCATATAATGCAAATCTTAGTGAACTCACATCTGTCACAGATCGACCCAATTCATGGGCAATCTTTTCCCATCGACCTGGGGTCCCTCCTGGGAACTTAACCATACTTCTTGTCAGCTGGCTGAGGTCCTCTTCTGTCCATTCAGGTGCCTGTAAAACATTAGAGAAAATAAAAAAGGTAATTGAAAAAAATGCTTGCTAAAACATTTAACAAGCCCGTGAAACAAATTATTGGCAGTACCCTGATCTTTCTGCAAAGACCAACAGTACTAAAATGTATCTAGGTTTAGTTAAAGGCTGGAGCAGTGCAGTTAACATCAGAACACGGAGTTCTTCCCAAGGTTTCCCTTCGTGTATAAGAAAGAAGTACTGCAAAACTGTATTTTGAAGACACTTAAAAAGAGACTATTCAGTTTTAGATTTTTCATTAAAATGAAAAACCATTTTCAAAGCCTATGAAAAACTCTTGCTGCAAAATGCAATGCTACTCATAAGTCACATAACATGGCTAGTAAAGGTTTTGAAGTTTAAAAGAGAACAAAAAAATGTTAAGAATTACAAAACAAATGAAAACGTGAACAAGTAAATGCCCTGGTTGAGAATCAGAGGGGAAGATATATGTCTTGTTCATTCTATATAACAATATTCAACTTAAAAAATGTTTAATTTGTCAAATGTTAGCATTCTGTAAAACTTGGGAACAAATAAAACTGGAAACTCTTTCCACCAAGATGTAAACCATCAGTCCACGCAAAGATTTTAAGAGCTGAGTAAATTATTACTGAAAAAGTAAAAACACCTTAAAGACCACAAAACTGCATTAACAAAAACTGCATTCTAACAGGAACATATTGTCTGTATTTTACTACCAGTGCCTACCAATGGTCAAATCTAAAACCAAGTAAAGCAAAATAAATTATTGTTGAATAACAAAAACCATGCAACAACAACTTTCTAGCACTGAGCTACCACCCAGCAGCAACAGAGACTCTGGTATTAAACAATGAGGGATGAAGGAGGCCCACCTCATTTTCCTTTAATTAGAAAGAAAGAGAGAAGGGAGAGGGGATGGGGGGGCGGGGAAGAAGGGGTATTGGGAGGAAATCTTAGAAACAAATACCTTTTCTAATCACCATTTCCGATAATGAACAGCATACACCAGGCAGTTTGCATTACAGAACCATCAGCACAGAACAACAGTCAGAGGTGAGTGACCCCAGGGACTATCTCCACAGCTACAGCAAAGCTTCTCCCTGACACTAATCCTCCCTGTCATTCTCCCACTGTGCTCCAACCACACTGACATCCGCCTGCTTCACTGCAAGCTTAACTGGGCCCTTCCTGACTTTTTACTGTCTCCCCCAATCAATGGTTCAAGCATGCTCTTTTCACCATGTCCAAATGGCAGCTTCACTCACAATCAAAGTGCACTGCCCTGTTAAAGGGCTTTCCAAAAGGCTCTCCTATTTGCATTCATTTGCAAAGCAAACTACTTTTATTCACTTTGTTCTGCTATCAAGAATGTTCCCTGAAGCAGATAAATTGGCATAAATACAACCTGCCACTTAAGAGTCAGTAAATAATAGCCAATAGTAGGGAGGATTTTATCAATCATTCTATTTTGTATCCACTAAGGGCTGAAAGCCTCAAACATATTCATCAGCACAGCCCCTACAATACATGCATAAATTCACTTCTATAAAAAGGTAGCCTACATTGGGTCTGGTCAGAATTTCTTTGATAGTTAATGAAGATCAGAAATCTAATTCTCCATATCACACAAGGTAAAAATTTACACAAAGAGGTTTTCTTTCTTTTTCCTTCTTCATTTTTTGCTTTATATTAAGGGAAGAAAGTATTATTTAGACACCATTTAGAGGAATATAATTAGATTTTCAGAAAAATAATACTTTTATTGCTAAAATCCAAAGCTTTAGTTAAGTATACAGATTGGTTTCAGAAGTGCAAAAGGGTTAGTTAAGTTTTTAGTAGAATTTAAATATAAGCTTGAAATGCAGAATCAAATCATGAAGAGAATTAAGTTGAAATTGTATTGAAACAGTATTGGAACCTACAGGCTTTCAGTGCAGCTTCACACCAAAGCAAATCATCTAATGTCTGCACTAGCCTTAACAAACATTTGGAACAAACAAAATTACCTAAAATGTCACAAATGTAGATTATTGCTTCACACAGTAAACCAATAAAAAAACCTCTATTTTTAATAGAAGTTTGCTTTTCCAAATCCCCTACAAATATTAACAATGGACATTAAAAAACCAATCTAATTTTAATTCCTTGTTAATGAGCTTAAAAATACAGTACCACTTTCTTGGCAGCCTGAAAAACCATCTACTGCATAACAAACTTTCCTTTTAGTTTTAGCTGTTTTATGGCCACGATTTTTTATTATTTTTAAGAGATGTGTAGTAACGAGGACCATAGCTGAAATCTAAGAGAAGCCCGTTAGCTACTCATTATTCTCTCTCCTACAGCTGTAAGGCACTTTGGTGAATGCAATTCCTCAGCAATAGTTAGGGGTGTCTTTAGAAGCAACAGAGCCTACTGTGATCCAGCTACTCCAGCAGCCATGAGGGTGGCCGTAGTGTGAATGTATTCTCCCTGTTCTATTCTAGAGCCAACTGTAGCTGTGAAAGTCAAATGAATGCATAAGCATACTGCTTTGCCACTTAAACCATGTGTGTCCAATATTACTGAAACACTGGGCCAAAAATTCATCTCTACAGTAAAGTAATGGAAGATACCACATGGTGTGGGGACAGCTGTTGTGACTACACAAGCATTCCAATTTTGCATCAGAAAAACCCTGCTCTGGGAATAAATCTCCATATTGAATACAAAATAAAAGTAAGTTTTCAAATTATTCAATATTTTATGTAATGATTCCAAAATATGTCTACATAAGAACTTACAGGGAAATAATGATCCTGTGGGATGGATTTTGTCATAAAACCTGCTGTTCAAAGACTTGGTGCCTCTGACAGTTTTTAATATTCCTGGATTACAGGGCTTGGTGGCTATAGGGGAAAGCTTCCTATATTTTTATATGACCTACGTGCAGGGTTTTCCCTTCCAGATTTGCACCAAAACCCATTAATTACAAGTATTATGCAATTTATTTGGCTGAAAAATTATGAATGAAATAAAAATGTACTTATCGCTTATTGTATTTTCATATTTTAATAATAAAAGGTCCTTTTCTAACCCATATGGAAACTTCTTGATGTTAACTATTTTATTGAAGTAACCCGTCAGTGATCATTATTTATATAATTACAGAAGCTAAATTTATGGCTTGAACTATTTTTAGCTCATTTTGTTCAACTCAAATTCTGGGGCATTTTAACCAAGACAATGATATCCTTTATTTATCACTTGGTTAAAATAGAAGATGTACAGCTAAGAATGTGGACAGCAAACCTCTAACTCTATGTTCTGTACAATTTTAGAATGCACTCAGCTTTCAGTTACACAATTTCCCTTTCCAATTCAAGTGACCCTGACAAACATCTGTGCAAATAAATAGTATGTTAACAACAAAAAATTAAAACCAAATCACCATAAGTGTCTTTACTCTTGTTTTTAGTTTTCAGACTTCACAGTCAGCCAACATACTGACTGGCAGGAGTCAGGAGTCAAAATATTCGATGTAACCTCCATGTTCCCTACTGTCCGCAGACATCTGGCATTGCTGAGTATTGGAAGGGCTTCCTCAAAAGTCACCTCAGAAAGCTCTGGCTCTACCTCTCTCACTTCTCAAAGTCTTTATGGTCATGAAATGCAACTGTCCTCAGAAAGGAACCTTTTCCTTTTAGCTCCTTTCTAGATAATGAAAGGAGCAGATGATTACAGGTATCTATTTAGGAAATTCTGGATCCAACCTCAACTGGCATGACATTTCTTTCTCAGGATAATCACAGGACAGCCTGGTTTATATACCTTCTGGGGAGTAGTATGGCCAAAAGGAGGCTTAAAGAATCAACCTAGCAGGGTGTGGTAGTGCATGCATACCTGTGATCCCAGCACTCAGGAGGCAGGGGCAGGTGGATCTCTGTGAGTTCCAGGCCAGCCTGGTCTACATAGTGAGTTTCAGGACAGCTGGGGCTACAGGGAGACTCTCTCCTCTCTCTCTCTCTCTCTCTCTCTCTCTCTCTCTCTCTCTCTCACACACACACACACACACACACACACAAATCAACCTAGTTCTGACTCATCCACTTTGAATTTCTTGTAGAAGTTGAAGTCTTAGATCTGTGGCACATGATCCAATATACTTGCCAATACAGTTCTAAGTGGGGCATCTCACAGGCCTATGTAAGTGGCATAAAACTATCTTCTCTTCTTGAACTCTTTCAGAAAAAAAGGGAAGGCTAGATACAAAGCCAGGGATGACTGGGGCAGAATGGGAGACACCAGTTTGGTGGTGTTGGAAAAACATCAATCTCAATCTTGACATGGGTTTGGTATCCAGCATGTGTGAGGAATTCTTGTGGGCTGGTGAGATGGCTCAGCAGTAAAGATGCTTGCTGTCCAAATCTGGCCACCTGTGTTCTATCCCTGAAACCCATGTAAAATGTGGAAGGAAAAAACCAACACCACAAGACTGTCCTTTCCTTCATGCATGCATTGTGTGTGTGTGCACATGTGTGCAATGTGTGCAGCATACACACATTTAATATAAAATGTGTGTGTATATATATATATATATGCATATATATATGCATGTGTGTATGTATGTGGGCATGCAAGCTACAGCATGTACCTGGAGGTCAGAGGACAACGTTGGCCTTGAATTCAAGAGATTGGAGTCCTGCCTCTGCTTTCCAAGTGCTGGAATTAAAGGCATGCGCTACCACACCCAGCTAAAAAGTAATTCTTGCTACTTAAAAGATAAATAACCCTTTTAAAAATAGGCAAAGAGGGGAGGGGGGGGGAGAGAGAGAGAGAGAGAGAGAGCGCTAGTGGTTAAGAGTACTTGTTGCTCATGCAGAGGACCAGGGTTCAATTCTCAGCACCCACATGGCTACTAACAACCACCTGAAACTCCAATTCTAGGGGATCCATGCAGGCAAAACACTCATACACATAAATAAAAATCACCTTTAAAAATTGGGGAAAGAATCTTAAAG